AAACCTATCCAAGTATGCTTATGTTTATTTTCCATTTTAGACTAGATAAAGTCAATGTGGGATTATTTTCAATTTCTTCTTTCTTCAGTTTCTGGACTATGTAATTTCTTGTTCAAGAATCTATTTAATGACTTCATACCTTTCCCAAGGTTATCTCTAAATTCCTTACAATATCTCCCCATCAGTAACACTTTGCCTCCTACATACAAAGATGAGCCAAGCAAGTTATTTAAGGCATTGGCTGCAGACTTACTCCCTCATCATTCACTTGTAAATGGGTCCAGCAGCTTGCCAAGGTCAATGGACAACTCTGCCAGAGAAGAGTGGGATGGAAAAATTCCTCCTCTCCTCCTGTTGCAACTAACATATAATGTTTAAAAAATTCTTCCACTTCTCTGTGGTGCCTCGTCTCAGAAATTCATCTGTTAGTGTATCAGCAGATCCTTCCCTAAACTAGAAAATCAAAACAAAATCATTTCACCCCATATCTCTGGTTTAATACTGAAAATCAGGTATATATGCATAAACTCAGAAGTTTACTTGCTTTAGCTTGCAAATCTCTCCATTTGTTGTTGCTCTTCTGGACAGAATATCAAAACCGGCCTCAAATCTTTGGATGAAACTTACCTTTCCAGGTTCTAGATAACTGCAGCTTGAGAGGATTCTGGAGGAAGAAACAGTTTATCTGGACCCTTCCAGTTAGGGTTCAGGCCTGGTATGGGTCTGAGATAGCATTGATGTACTCTCGGATGACTTCTGGTAAGAGTAGGATGGGAGTGATGCGTCCATTCTTGTTATATGTTTTCGTAGATTTTCACAGGTATAGGTATGCAGGTCTTGGCATATTCGGGTCTTTTCCCAAGAAAGATTGACAGTATCTTGGCGACGTTTCGATGAGGTCCCACTCGTCATCTTCAGGCTGAGGTCTTCGGCTTCGTGCTTATGCGAGCAAAGTGTGATTGGAGCTGCCGTGTCTCTATATATATTGGTGGGGGTGTGTGGAGTGCTGGCTTAGTTGCTGTAGGTGGGTTGGTTGGCTGTGTTGGAGTTATTGTTTGTAGATTGTTCGGCTGTTTCGTAATATCCTGAGTAGCTGAGGTGCTGGCTGTGTGCCCATTAGTCTTTTGTGTTGTAATGACCTGGGTTGTGTGATGACATCCTGAGATCTAGTGTACTGATATCCTGAGTTCTGTGTTGCACCATCCTGGGTGGTAGGCTGTGTTGTAACATCCTGAGCGTTAGCACTGTAACCTCCTGAGTTCTCTGGTGTGATGTCCAGGGCAGAAGGCTGTGAAGTAACATACCGGGCTTTGGTTTGGCTCTGTGTTCATGGCGTGTGTCCATTTGCTTTGTATGGGGGTCGGAGGGAGGTGCAGCAGCTGGTGATGTCATCATGGTTTAGCTTCTGGATAGTGGTTGCATTTCATCTGAGGGATGGGTTTGGGTCTGATGAGGGTGAATGGTGGTGGCGTACTGTGTTGTTCTGGGTCCAGTGTCAGTTTTCGTGGCTAGAACTCGTTTGTTGACTAGGGCTAATTTCCAGATGTCTGGTAGGCAGGAGGTATCATCACATTTATTCATATTGTGGGGGTGTTTTTCTATTTCGATGGCTTCCATAATTATTCTCTTGTTGTGGTGTTCAGTTTTGGAGATTAGTTTGGTTCCTTCAAAATCAATTTCATGTCCTGTGGCTTTAAGGTGCTGGAAGTTTTTTCTTCTTTTCTGACTGTGATCTTGTGTTCTGCGATGTGTGCATTTATTCTCCTATTAGTTTGTCCAATGTATGTGGCTGGGCAGATTTTGCATGGTATTTCATAGACTCCTTGGTTTTCTAGCTGGATCGTATCTTTTGGGTTTCTTAAGATGTTGGCTATTTTTTGGTCGGTGCCGAAGGCTGTCTTGATATTGTGTTTGTGGAGAATTTTGCTGGTTTTATCTGTGGTGCCTTTCATATAGGGGAGGAGGGCGATGTCTTTGTACTGTTCTATGTCTCAGTTCTTGGGGTGTTTCCCTTTGCATTAGGTTGGTAATGGTATTTCTATTAGGAATCAACTGGTGGAAAAAGCAGTTGTGTGGGTAGTTTCTGGGGCCAGCTATTCAACACACGTTATACCATTGCTACATGAGTTACACTGGCTTCTGGTGTGCTTTCAGATGCTGGTTGTCACCTTTAAAACCCTTCATATTTTAGGACTAGGTTATTTACAGGACTATCTATCCCCAAATGTTTTTACACACTCTTATCAGATCTGGCAGGAAGGGCATGCTCCAAGTACTGTTAACCAGGGAATGGTGGCTGGTGGAGCCCAGAAATGGAGCCTTTTCTTCCATGGCAACAGTCTTTTCGAACATCATTCTCCCTGAGATTAGATTGGCCCAATCCTCTTGGCCTTTTATAAGGCCTTGAAAACTTGGCTTTGGGATCAAGCCTCGGGTCCTTGGAAATGGGTTGAGCATTACAACCTCCATATTCATATGGTTGTATGAATAATAGATTAAATCATACTGGTTGGTAAGTGTTTTCTTAATTTACATTATGTTATGTGCTTTTTTTGTTTCATTGTAAGCTGCCTAGAGTCATGCAAAAATAAGATGGGCAGCTATATAAGCCATGTAAAATAAATAATTTTTAAAAAAAAAGTTGTGGAACCACTCCTGTTTAAGGCAAGCCGCGTGCCCATTGCTCTTTATCATAGCTTTGTGCAAGTTTATTTATTTTTATTTATTTATGAGACTTATATACCGCTTTAAGTGCAAGCACTCTCTAAGTGGTGTACACCAGTAAGCAATGTGTATATATATATATATATATATATATATATATATATATATATATATATATGTCTGTGGTTGGTTGTTCGGGTTTTCTCCCGCGTAAAATTGGAAGTGTCTTGGCGACGTTTCGACGAAGTCCCATTCGTCATCTTCAGGCTGGTGTTTTCAGCTTCCTGCTTTGAGCAGCAATGTGTGGTCTTAGCTGTTTCTTCCTTTTAACTGCCAGTGGGGGTATGAACTGATTGGGTGGGAGCTTGGCTGTGTTCTGATGGGGTGGAGGTGTGTTCTGAATGGTTAGGGGCTTGGCTGTGCTCTGATTGGCTGGGGGAGTGTTCTGTTTGGGTTGTGTCTCAGGTTAGTCTGAGTGCAGAGGGGTTTAAGATTTTGGGGTTAGGGAGTCGTTTGTCAATAAGGGCAGGTTTCCAAATGGCTGGTAGGCGGAGGTATCATCTCGCTTGTTCATGCTGTGTGGGCGTTTTTCTATCTCGATGGCTTCTCTGATTATTCTGTTATTAAAATGTTCACTTTTGGCAATGGTTCTGGTATTTTTAAAGTCAATTTCATGTCCTGTGGCTTTAAGGTGTTGGACCAGGGAAGATGTTGGTTCCTCTTTTTTGACTGAGTTCTTATGTTCTTCAATGCGTGCACTTATTCTTCTGTTGGTTTGTCCGATGTATATGGTGGGACAAGTGGTGCATGGGATTTCGTATACTCCTTGATTTTCTAATTCAATTTTATCTTTGGGGTTTCTAAGGATGGTGGATATTTTTCTGTTTGTGCAGAATGCTGTTTTGATGTTGTGTTTATGAAGGATCTTACTGATTCTGTCTGTGGTGCCTTTTATGTATGGGAGGAGGGCTTTGCCGTTTTCTTGTTCTTTGTCTTGGATTTTGGTGGGGGTTTCTTTTTGGATTAGGTTTGTAATCATTATTTCTATGGAATCCATTGGATGTTAGTACATTGGTGAGAGTGTGTAGTTCGGGTTTTAGGTGTTGTTCGTAGCTAAGCGTTTTGTTCTGGAGATGAGTGTCTTGGCTACAGAGTTGATCTGTGCTGGGTGGTGGTGTGAGAGAGCGTGCAGATAGCGGTTTGTGTGTGTTTTCTTCTGGTAGATGGTGTGTCCTAGGGAGCCATTGGATTTCTTGTAGACTAAGACATCCAGGAAGGGAAGTTGGTTGTTAGCTTCTGTTTCCATGGTGAACTGTATTTTGGGGTGTAGGTGTTGAGGTGTGTGAGGAAGTTGTCCAGTTTTTCTTTCCCATGTGGCCAGATTATGAAGGTGTCGTCTACGTATCTGAGCCAGAGTTTGGGTTTGTGATCCGATTTTTCTAGAGCTTGGGTTTCAAAGTGTTCCATGTAGAGGTTGGCAATGACAGGTGAGAGGGGTGATCCCATGGGTGCTCCTTCTGTTTGTTTGTATTTTTGTCCATTATAGATGAAGTATGTGTTGGATAGGCAGTGGTTGGTCAGATCTAAGATGTGTTTGGGGGGGTTATATTTGTTTTGAATAGCTGTCAAGGCTTCTTTGATAGGCACTTGGGTGAAGAGGGATATGACATCGAAGCTCACTAGTAGGTCGCTGGACTGTAAGCTTTGTTTCTTTATGATCTCTATAAACTGGAATGAGTTTTTTACGTGTGAGGTGATGGATTCTGCATAGGGCTGTAGTTGTTTGGCGAGAAATTGGGCTAGGTTTTGTAGAGGTGAGCCTATGGAGCTGACTATAGGTCTGAGTGGGGTTCCTTCTTTGTGTATCTTGGGGAGACCATAGAGTTGAGGGCATAAAATAAAAAGGACCACAGAAGAATCAGTTTAGATCCTTCATAAACAAACATCAAATACAGCATTCGCAACAAACAGAAAAAACTATCCACCATCATTAGAAACCCAAAGATAAAATTGAATTAGAAAATCAAGGAGTAACGAAATCCCATGCCACCACTTGTCCCACCCATATACATCGGGACAAACCAACAGAGACTAAGTGCACGCATTTGAAGAACATAAGAACTCAGTCAAAAAAAGAAGGGGAGGACCCCACATACTTCACGTCGGTCCAACACCTTAAAGCCACAGGACATTAAATTGACTTTAAAAATACCAGAACCATTGCCAAAAGTGAACATTTTAATAACAGAATAATCAGAGAAGCCATCGAGATAGAAACACGCCCACACAGCATGAACAAGCGAGATGATACCTCCCGCCTACCAGCCATTTGGAAACCTGCCCTTATTGACAAACGACTCCCTAACCCCAAAATCTTAAACCCCTCTGCAACTCAGACTAACCTGAGCACAACCAAACAGAACACTCCCCCAGCCAATCAGAGCACAGCCAAGCCCCTAACCATGCAGAACACACCTCCACAATCAGTTTTCAATTTATGCCCCAAACTCTATGGTCTCCCCAAGATACACAAAGAAGGAACCCCACTCAGACATATAGTCAGCTCCATAGGCTCACCTCTACAAAACCTAGCCAAATTTCTCGCCAAACAACTACAGCCCTATGCAGAATCCATCACCTCACACGTAAAAAAACTCATTCCAGTTTATAGAGATCATAAAGAAACAAAACTTACAGCCCAGCGACCTACTAGTGAGCTTCGATGTCATATCCCTCTTCACCCAAGTGCCTATCAAAGAAGCCTTGACAGCTATTCAAAACAAATATAACCCCCCCAAACACATCTTAGATCTGACCAACCACTGCCTATCCAACACATACTTCATCTAGAACGGACAAAAATACAAACAAACAGAAGGAGCACCCATGGGATCACCCCTCTCACCTGTCATTGCCAACCTCGACATGGAACACTTTGAAACCCAAGCTCTAGAAAAATCGGATCACAAACCCAAACTCTGGCTCAGATACGTAGACGACACCTTCATAATCTGGCCACATGGGAAAAAAAAACTGGACAACTTCCTCACACACCTCAACAGCCTACACCCCAAAATACAGTTCACCATGGAAACAGAAGCTCACAACCAACTTCCCTTCCTGGATGTCTTAGTCTACAAGAAATCCAATGGCTCCCTAGGACACACCATCTACCAGAAGAAAACACACACAAACCGCTATCTGCACGCTCTCTCACACCACCACCCAGCACAGATCAACTCTGTAGCCAAGACACTCATCTCCAGAACAAAACGCTTAGCTGACGAACAACACCTAAAACCCGAACTACACACTCTCACCAATGTACTAACATCCAATGGATTCCATAGAAATAAGATTACAAACCTAATCCAAAAAGAAACCCCCACCAAAATCCAAGACAAAGAACAAGAAAACGGCAAAGCCCTCCTCCCATACATAAAAGGCACCACAGACAGAATCAGTAAGATCCTCCATAAACACAACATCAGAACAGCATTCTGCACAAACAGAAAAATATCCACCATCCTTAGAAACCCCAAAGATAAAATTGAATTAGAAAATCAAGGAGTATACGAAATCCCATGCACCACTTGTCCCACCACATACATCGGACAAACCAACAGAAGAATAAGTGCACGCATTGAAGAACATAAGAACTCAGTCAAAAAAGAGGAACCAACATCTTCCCTGGTCCAACACCTTAAAGCCACAGGACATGAAATTGACTTTAAAAATACCAGAACCATTGCCAAAAGTGAACATTTTAATAACAGAATAATCAGAGAAGCCATCGAGATAGAAAAACGCCCACACAGCATGAACAAGCGAGATGATACCTCCCGCCTACCAGCCATTTGGAAACCTGCCCTTATTGACAAACGACTCCCTAACCCCAAAATCTTAAACCCCTCTGCAACTCAGACTAACCTGAGCACAACCAAACAGAACACTCCCCCAGCCAATCAGAGCACAGCCAAGCCCCTAACCATTCAGAACACACCTCCACCCAATCAGAACACAGCCAAGCTCCCATCCAATCAGTTCATACCCTCACTGGCAGTTAAAAGGAAGAAACAGCTAAAACCACACATTGCTGCTCAAAGCAAGAAGCTAAAAACACCAGCCTGAAGATGACGAATGTGACTTCGTCGAAACGTTGCCAAGACACTTCCAATTTTACGCGGGAGAAAACCCGAACAACCAAAGACCTATATACAAATACCCGCGAAAACCTCAGAAAACATATATATATATATATATATATACATACATTGCTTAGTGGTGTACACCGCTTAGAGAGTGCTTGCACTTAAAGCGGTATATAAGTCTCATAAATAAATAAATGGCAGAGAATGAGGTGGCTGGATGGAGTCACTGAAGCAGTAGGTGTGAGCTTAAATGGACTCCAGAAGATGGTAGAGGACAGGAAGGCCTGGAGAAATGTTGTCCATGGGGTCGCGATGGGTCATACACGACTTCGCAATTAACAACAACAACTTTTATTTGTGTATGAGATAGAAACAGACAATGTGTTTCTCTCTCTGTGTGTGTGTGTGTGTGTGTGTGTGTGTGATGAGCTATTGTATGTGTGTTTGTGTGTATGCCTGTGTGTGTGTGTAAAACAAGTTGCCCAGACTCTAGCATCCTGACTGGGGAATTCTGGGATTGAAACCCACATACCTTAAAGTTGCTAAGGTTAAGAAATACTGTTCTAGAGCAGGGATCCCCAACCTTGGCAACTTTAAAACCTGTGGACTCCAATTCCAGGAGTTGAAGTCCACAGGTCTTAAATTTGCCAAGGTTGGGGATCCCTGCTCTAGAGCATGCCAGTAGACATTACAAAAACTTTACAGAAACACTAGTCTTTTCAGTGTAATATTTTGAGCCTGTGGTGCTTAATTCATCCATTTTCCTTTTAAAAATTTCCTAAGTTCTCCATCATTTATAAGAATATCCATTCACCAGTCATATATTCTAAGAGCATTTAATTAGAAGTTTTATTGAATTTAATAGGATTTACCACTTCATCAACATTGAGGAACATGTTTCCTAACCAAAAATGTATAGATTTTTTCCCCATACATAATTAACACTTCATTTCAAGTAAAATTACTTCTTTTTTTCTTTTTCTTTTTGGTAATTATCCATCATAACAAATATTAACTGGAACTTTGCTATCTGCTGTTTCAAACAAACAGGGAATTTATTTGTTATTTTTAAGAGTTTGGAATTATACTATAGTAGACATAAAGGAACCAATAACTACCTAGAAACCTTAACTCAAAGGACTTAGTGTCGTATCATAGTTAATTTAGCTGATACACTATACACTATCCCAAAATAAGTGATTTTCATTGAAATAAATGCTCAAGAAAAAAGTGACTAATAATACTGTGGCAATGTAAATATTTAAAAATAATTATAATGTCATATGAACAAATACAAGTGCAAAGGGACTAATAATGCAGGATACCACCAGGCAAATGTCATACATTTGCAATTATATACATAGGGATTCCTGGTAAGGGAATTGTTCCATTTTCTCTCCATGACCTTTGAGGGTAGAGAATCATATCCTGCCATGGTAAATGTTCTTCTATGAGAAACAGACAATTATATGTAGGGATAGCATAATAGATACCTTCAAGGTTTCTATAGCAGGGATACAAAAGGATCAAGCTTGTTACTTTGTAGGTTGAAATCAATCTCTTCTTAACTTCAACTATGGCTGCTTTACATCCAACACAATGGATTGAAAATCAAAAGAAGTCCAGTTCACAGGCTGAACATTTTTTCCAGAAGAAAGTGTTTTTAACTACCGGGGTGTAGTGGGCCATGGATTTGCACCCTAATATTTGTTTCAAACAATACTGTAGCAACCATATAACTAACCAAACAACCTTGCAAAGTTTCATATGGGCCTCTCCAGAGTCAAATTGCAGCCAAAAATACATATATACATACATCTATAGATAGATAGATATGGAATTGAATGGGGGATGTAGAGTGCAAGAGATCGTTCTTAAAAAAATAGATTGAGCTTCTTCTAATTATAACTTTACTATCTCTTAATATAAGTCATGAGTAAGCTACTAATACTGATTTAGGACTTTTTATTATATAAAATGCTCATGGGATAAATGCTCCAAGAATCAATATTTGCTGCTGGTAAGAAGATAGAGCCATGTTAAATAGATAACGGATAGGGATAGGGATAGGGATAGGGATAGGGATAGGGATAGGGGTAGGGGTAGGGGTAGGGGTAGGGATAGGGATAGGGATAGATAGGGAGTTATATATCTGAAGGATGATGGTAAAAATATAGTTATTAGATTTTTGCCATTATATGCACAATTCACATTTTATATTATAATGCTATGGTATATTAATAATTTGAATCTTCACTATAGTAAATTTAAGAAATAACTGCATTATGTAGACAGAGACCTGCAATTTAATTTGATGTGTTTTAATGTAAACAACTTTTTCACAAACTTGTGACAAAATGAAATACTTATGGCTCTTACAACTAACTTTGCAAATGAAAGAGAAAGAAAAAGTTTGGTGGTACGTTAATGTTATACAATAATGGGTAAGGCAGAGCTGTGTACTGTTACTGTTTAGCATGGCTCTGTCAGCAGAAAGTGCATCCCATAGAGATATCATTAACCATTGTCTCTGAGATTGCTTATTATTTAATTCAGTGAATTGAGACAAACAGGTGTGAAAATTTCTTTCCCAACTCTGCTTGAGAGACCTGGAGTTACTATTAGAAGCAAGCATATTCATTAGGTTGTACAATGTTCTGTGAAATTAATTCCTTATGCCAAGTCATAACAAAAGTGAGAAAGTGCCATTTTTAGAAATGCATCTTTGCTGCCAACAAATATAAATGTGCAACCATTCTTCCTTACATCTGTTCTAGTGGCTGTCAAGAATCTTTGTTGATTTTAGATGAGAGAAACTTACTTGAGTTATATCAAATAGGCTTTTTTAAAAATTAAGCAGTATATGAATTGCAGCAGCAACAAATATTAGTATTTGGCTGTTGGCCATGTGGCCCAGAATGCTTGGCTGGTTAGATATTTGGCACATCCAGCAAAGGTCTTATGTTTCTAAAGTAGTTTCCAGGGATAGAGAACATGGTATTAGTAACCCTTCTATATTGAAACTTGCACTTATGTTGTAGCAACTGAGTTAACCACTTATTTCTTTAGAAAGATAGCAAGTGAAGGCTAGAAAATTATGTTCTCTATAACTTGCTGCACAAAACAGCAAGAGTTGCTATAAATGTATTATTCTACGGTGGAAGCAGCAAGGTTATAAAAGGGCTGTAGATAACCTTATCCTGATAGCTCTTTGAATATGAAGTCACTTCTACAATGTGGGCTGATTTCTTAAGAGTCCAAAGAATTGTTGATACTTACACAGTGATTTATAACAGCAGACTTTTAGGATCTTTCTGCTTTTCATCAAACAAATGTCACTTTCAAAACTCCACTCCGTTTGTAATGCATTTGGTAATTATGCCTCTTTTGTTTGTGTATGTGATGTCATAAAACATACACTATAATTCTGCAGTGTTACTTCATCAATCTGACTCTTCCCCGTGGAGGACACTGTTTTGCAACCAGATCATTAAAGAAATAAAAAAGCTCCTTTCTTGCCTCTCACTTTAAATTACTAAAGAATTTACTGCCAGAAGAGAAAAAACATGTTTTCACCTTATCGTATACTATATAGAAACTCTGCCATTCTTACTTCTAATGGTTGGGAAAAAAAATAATTGGTGAACAATGTACATTTTCAGGGCAAAAATTTTAACCAAAAGGTTATTGCCACCTGCTCCTTTCTATAATGACAATGGCATTTAGTCACTGTAATGTTTCTGTGATTTAATCCACTTAAAGAATTAACCCTGCTCAACATCATTTGTAAGACAGTAATTTTGCCATCATTATTATTTTCTCCCCCATCAAAAAAAATCTTCATCTCTAACAGAAATAATAATTATTTCCCATTTTTAGAGTGTCTGGAGGAAGCACTAGAGTTTCAGACTAAAAATGTGATATTTTCCTGTAACCCACCATAATTACAGTGTGAAGTGACCTTGATTTCATGTGAGATTATTCTGGTCCTGCATTTAATGGGCTCCTTTTCTTCCCTGGCAACCCAGCCTAAATCAAAATCTCAGACGGTGAGGGAGACAATCTGGAATAAAGGTTTTTGTGCCTTGTGAGGATGGCTTTCTTTATTCTCTGAGTCACATACAGTTACAGTGGAAGTATTTCATCTCAGACTGGCTGCTCGTTGTTATTTCTTCCCGTGCCACTGTCTGTCAAGTCTACCACTTGTAGAGAAATTTTAAAAAAGAGCAAGTGGTTTCTTAATTATACCGAGCCAGGTTTGGGCTGCAGTAAGTACAACAAAGCTGCCTCTAGGGCAGCTCAGGGTAGAGAATTCATCTTTTGATACAGAATCTTTGTATCCATTTCAGTGGTAGCAAGAAAAGCTTCAAGCTATTGGAAACACTTAAAAGCTTTTCTTTCTTCTTGTTTTCTAACAAGGAATAATATCAGTTGGCTTAATACAGTGTAACATACATTTTTTATTCTGAAATTACCAACATTTTTGTAAAAAAATAACCTCTTTATTTTTGCAGACTCAAGAATATTAGTTTGTCTTGAAAAATATTCATATGCTGTATAACCCAACCTGCTGCTTTTTTAAAAGAAATCTATATTTAAACAAATATATGACACATACAAAATAAGCAAAAGGCAATGATAAATTTCAACATATTGTGGATGCCAAAAATCTACTTCATATTTTTTTTTTGTGTGTGAAAAGATGGGTTACTGTTTTCTTCTTCTCAGTCACCATCAAGATTTTCATTTCATAGGAGTCTTCAAAATAATTTTCTATTTGGGTGATAACTTTCTTCGAATATATGTGTCATTATAAATACAGCAGAAACTTCTAGTTTCTTCCCTGGAAAGATTTACCTGTGATTCATCCAATAATTTACACAGCTGACTTATTTTGTGGAATGCCTTCTGCAATTGATAAAC